AGTTAGGGTTCTACTGATAAAATTGTTATTTTATTACGTTTTTGCATGGGATGACACCATGTCAACAATTGGCCGAGGTAGAGCTTTTACATACTTGCAGGTATATGCACAGACAAGTACAGTAACGCTTTCCCCTGCTCTGCTTGTCTGCAGGCAGTGAAGTGAAATCTGCAAGAGTCCTGCTCTCTCAAGGCCTGCATACAGGAAAGAAGCAGGGGAAAAGCGTTACACTCAGCTTTTGTTCTACAGCATTTTAAAACATAACAGGTATGTCAGATTTTTGGTCTGTCAGCCTTGACAATGGTCCCTTGAAAATGAACTGAGTATCCTTTGAGGTAGTAAGTCATGTCACTGAAGTATATTTAAAATGTGGCTGTGATAATAGTTCTTGTAAGATTTTTGTTGTTAGGAATAACCATAAACTCTCATGGTGTTCTCTGACACTAGTCACTAAAATAGTATGTTTACTAACAAAAATTGTTACTCAGCCTGAGAATGGCAGATGGGATAAAGAATATATTACGAACTTCTTTTAGATTTTACTTAAAAGATTTAAAAAAAATTAAATTCAATCCTGTGGATTGTTTGAACTCAGAACGTATTTTGCATTATCTAGCCATACTTTGGAACATTTATGACTTTAGACTACACTAACTACTTATAATTACCAATTACTCATGCAGTCATCTTTTTTTTTTCTTAGGTATATCGGAAAGTCTGATTCAGTTACGATCAGTGTATGGAATCACAAGAAGATCCATAAAAAACAAGGTGCTGGATTTCTTGGTTGTGTTCGTCTTCTTTCCAATGCCATCAACCGCCTCAAAGACACTGGCTGTGAGTAGATACTAGTACTTTAAAGATTTAAATATGTATAAATGAATATATATTTTTTGGGGGGAGGCAAGGGTCCAAAAACTTTACTTCCTCTGTATATTTGAAACATTGGTAAAAATTCTGGTCTAAGTTTATTTTGTGGACTTTACACTAAGATCACAACATTTTAAATATATGAAACCTAGAACTGAATAAGAGCTGACTGATACTTAAGTTTCCAGTGATTTTATTTTTAAGTGTTAAGAGATGATTGATATCCAGAAGTTAAAAAAAAATAATAAAAAGAGTATTATATATACCTTTTGTATTTCTTAGAACCCTTCTCTGGTTTTGGTGGCTTTATGAGATGAAGCTGAGTTTAATTTAAGTGATTGGAGTGTTTAAGGTGTCACTTAAGGGGGAGTTATTAATGAATAAGAATGATATATAAAACTGCTGTGAGAAAAGTTAAAGAAAGGCGAGACATTATTTTGAATGTGAGTCAGCTTATATTAACTACCTAGCAATAGCTTGACTTTTCACCAACCTGGGCATTTCGAAAATTAGATCAAGATTAAGACATTAGAAGTGATTTCCCTACTGAATTGAGAAGTTGACTCAGCATATGTGTAATTCATGTAGCCAGGTGACAGATCATCTTTTGGGGGATATTTCCATTAGGACATAAATGGAAATAACTTTTTCAACAGAATTTTTTTGTTTCTATAGAACTCTTTCTTATAAAATATAAAAAATATTGGTAGTCATTCATTGTCATGGAATTTTAGCCAGATGCTTATGTTAAAATTTTATGTAGAATCCAGCTAAGTAAACAAATAAATAAAAGAAGTGAATTTAGCTTGGAATGTTAGATATATATGGGATGATCCCTTTTAATGTAGTATGACACCACAGTCCAGAGATATAAACATTGTTAAAAGGGAAAAGGGAGAAAATTAAACTAGAAGTTCTCAGTCAGGGAAATTTAAAGGCACCTGAGAATTTCTCCTATTTCTGGGTAGACAGGTAACCAGTAGGAGATGCTGGGGTTGGAAAAGATCTAGCATATAAAAACAAACTGTTTAATTACTCAGCTAAACAGGCAAGCTGAAAACTTATACAGGTCACATGTATGACCTTATCTCTGGTTCAATTTAGCCAACATTTATTGAATCTGTAATGTGCGAGGGACTTATTTGAAACTCTGATGATTTAAAGGTGAAAAAAGCATAAATCCTGTCCTCTAAGAAGCAAGGGCAAAAGGCTTCCTGGCAAGGGGAGCAGGACACATTGGAAGGGCTGAACAGGGGAAGTGCAGCTGCTCTGCACAAGTCCACTGTATAGCTGATTTAGTAGTGTCCATTTATTTTGCAAGGGGAAAATTGTATTTTTGGTTGGATAGCCAGGCATTATAGTTTTGGGTCACAGGTTTTACTTTCTGCTGCTTGCGAATGTTTCGTTGCATTAATTTATTTGGCATTTTGATGTTCAGAAATATTTCTCAAGCATTTGTTGACCACCTGATGTAGTGTTCTGCCAGGTTGAAGTGGAGAATACCAAGACTATGATATGGTGTCCTTTTATCAATTCATGATTTATTTAAGTAAACAGATGGTATATAGCTGTAAAAGAATGCAGTTATCAGTGCTGTAATCAAAATAAAAGCAACATGCTATGGTAAACACTGTTCCTATAGTAACTGACCAGGCCAGTGTTGTGTCTTATACATGTTTTGTAGATAATATGTGTTTTATTAATGAGGAATGAGAGAATACATGAGTTGCCTCTAAATGAGTTAGTAGCAGAACTGACTCAAACCCTTATCTTACAGTTTATACTTGGCTTCTCATTAATACTTACTCTGTGTGTGGGTTGGTAACTTGAAACGGGTAGATTAAAAAGTAACAGTGACAACTAATATTTATTGAACACTTATGTGCCGGTACTGTGCGAAGAGTTTTATATAATTATTTGATTTAATCCTTAAGAAATGTGTGGTAGGTACTAACTACTATTTCACATGAGAAAATCAAGACTCAGGGATAAACAAATATTAGGTGGCAGGCCAATACTTAGACAAAGTGGTCTGAAATCTTTGGCAAGAAAATAACTGCATGTTGGCAGTATTCCAGTGTCTTATGGTTTTTGAAATCCAAATTTATCAAAACTTTTGCTGAGACATTTATACTAATTACATATGCAGTTAGAGAATTTTAAACATTTGTTTCATCATTAAAACATGATTAATTTTTTAAGTGATAGGCCTGATTTCTAATGGATTGTGGAAATTTACTTCACTCTGTAGATGTTAGACTCTCTGATACCAGCTTATTTTTTAATTGTTTTTCTTTTATGTTGATTTCAAATAGATCAGAGGTTGGATTTATGCAAACTTGGGCCAAATGACAATGATACAGTTCGAGGACAGATAGTAGGTAAGAGTGGAATTTAAAGTTAAGTGAATTTTGACTTCATTCAAGCTGACCTAAACTTTTTGGATTTAAAAAAACCAAAAACCTTACAAAAAATCTCCCAAACTGAGATGACAGAAAAAAATCTCCCAAATTGAGATGACACCCAAAACTTTTCCCTTGCATTTAAAACTTACTCAGTTCTTCACATCTCCTGTGAAGTTTTTCTTTTGATTTTTGTTCTTATAAAATAAAATCAAAATAAAGATAGAGAACCTAAGGTGCGCCCATAATAGGCTATCGTTGTCATCACTTTGGTGTGTTCCTTTTCTCTCTGTTTTTAAAATGAGATTATACCATACAAACTTTTAAGTAACCTGTTTTATTCTGTCCTAAATCTTTCTCTGTGTGTGTGTCCATGGTTATACATTTCTGTTGCATTTTTTAAGGTTGTATGGTAGTCCATGTGGGCAAATAATTAATTTAACCAAGTCCCTTATTGTTGGATATTTAGGTTTCTGATGTTTAGTATTATGAACAGTGCTCTGAAAAAAACATAGTATTTCTTTGACTCATATATTGCAAGAATTAGGCCATTTAAAAACATAGTTCCACCTAAAAATTGATTAGGTGTTTTGTAATACAGGATTCTGGATATATACATTGATGCTCATGAAATCCTTAATTTTGAACTTTAATATTATTTATTACAAAGCTAATGAGATCAGTGATTATTTTCATAAGCATTTCACTTAGCTTTTCTGTATAAAAACAATATAATTTTCTAGTACAATTTTCACATAACATTTGTTTACATTAGCTGAGAAGGTGTGTTACAGTGTTGCCTGCCTTAAATGGATGTATAAAGGAATAATACATTAAACTTTATGACTTTTTCAGAATTTTTACAAAGCTGGAAGATTTCAGAATTTTGGGACCCTTCTTAGACTGAAGGGTTTTAAAGATGTCATCACACTTTATGTAGTAACCTATTACATCTTTTAGAAGTTGGGTTACAGTCAGGTTTGCCTGTACCTCTTCTATCTTTTGGGAGAGTTGCAAAAATAGAATTAAAGAATACTAGAGAAACAAAGAAGGATTTAAGCATATCAGTTAGCCTAATTTCCCTATTATTCACATTGGGATTACCTTAACCTCAAGAATGTTAAATGTTATGTTCAAGGTCACAGTGTTAAACTAGTTGGTAGAGGCTAGTCTAGAGTTCACATCTCTTGCTTCCATGTTTATAGTGGTAGTTTTATACTCTTCTTTATGATGAGGTACTGTTTTAACTCATGAAATAAATCCAAATATTGCCCTATTGCCAGAATCTGGTATCTATTTTTTTAAGATGGGTCAAAAAGTAAACCCAAATTAATGTGAACTTTCCAAATTCCTCTGTATATGAATAAACCTTTCATGTGTTACACCTTTTTTTAAAAATGCAGTAGTGGCCTTGCATTGTCCCAGTACGGTGAGAAAAAAGGAATTAGACTCTCTTCCATGAAGTGTAGAAAATCTTAACATTCTAATATTAACCCTAAAGGGGAAAATTTCATGGAAAAATAAATTGCAGAATTTGATAGAAACTAAAGAGTTCATTCTTAAAGCTTATTAAAATAAGTTAGGCCAGATGTTTTTAGAAGATGTATGTTTTAAATTGTAATAATTCTTTCTAGTTCTATGTTGCTTAGTAATGTTTTTGTTGTTCAATAGTAAGTCTTCAGTCCAGAGACCGAATAGGCACAGGAGGACAAGTTGTGGACTGTAGTCGTTTGTTTGATAATGATTTACCAGATGGGTAAGCTAAAAATCATTAATGAAAAATATGTAGGTAATATCCTTAAAATAATGAGAAATAAATTGGTTTTTATTGTGCTACCTTTAAAATTTGCTGATAAGTTCCAAAATGTTGGTTTTCCTTAAACTTGGAAAATCAGTGAGGGATCTTGTCACAAAAAATTTATAAAATAAGCCATTAATTAGATATTTAACTTCGGTTTTTAAGAGTTTTGACAAGGAGACAAATGTAATGTTCCTGTAAATACTATATATTAGAAGATACATATTTTTTGTTTGATTTATAGTGCTCAAAACAGGATTGAGTTAGCCTGCTCTATTTAGAGGGATGGAATAGAGAATTTCTATAATAGTAGTTATAATAACATAGTAATATTAATTGACCATGCATATATCAGATACTGTTGTAAGCACTTTATATAATACGTTATATCTATCTATGTATTTAATTCTCATGTATGTGATTCTGGGATTAGGCCATCAGGGTCGATCCTTAATTACTCTTCTGCTTACTAGCTTTATGAATATAGTCAATTTATTTAACTTCTGTAAGCTTTGGTTTACATTTATTTATAAAGAAGATGATGCTAATAGTATACATGCCATGAATTATTGTGAGGATTACATGAAATCATTCATATAAAGAATTTAGCACGTTTTGCATGTAGTAAGTGCTTAATAAATAATTAGCCACTGTTATTACTACTGCTACTACTATTGTTAACCCTCATTCTTTTCACAGATTAAGAAAACTGACACTCAGAAGTTAAGTAACTTGCTGAAGGCCACATAGTAAATGGCAGAGCTGGAACACAAATTTAAGCCTTGATTCCAGAGCTCATGTTTTTTATCACTGCTTTCTATCTTTGTTTGGTACTAGTTTTGATACTTAACTGATTTTATTTTTGACTTTCAAAGTATTTTTAAGTAACCAGTTAGGCATGGTTTATGTACAATAAGTTCTATCCATTTAAAGTATATAATTGGTAAAGTTTTGACTTAAATTATTCTTGACATCAAAATTTACATTCAAACTATGGCAATTTGATCTTTTTGTTTGAACTGTTAAAAATTACTATAATTTAAGTTTGTTTATAGATCACTTTAGCTTCTTGATGTCTGTTAACTTTTATGGATGTCAGGTAGATTATGGCACTTTAAAGGGGGAAGTTTAGGGTGAAATAGCTAATCAATACTGAGGGATTCAACAATATAATAATAAGGCTTATTATTCTGAGCTTGCTTTACATTATTATACTTTATTCATAATCACAGGGGAAGAAAACCTCTTAGCATCTCCTTATTTTCTGTTTTTTAAGGTTTCCAAATGTTTTGGTGGAAATAATAACATTACCACAATTCCATAGTCATTTGCCTTTTTTTTTTGTTACAGGAACTAGATGTTGAGCAAGTGGCATTCATTTCTAAAAAATTAGGTTTGGTAGGTTAAATGCTTTAAAAAATTTTTAAGAATTATGTGTGATTTTTAATTTTAGGATAGTCTTTTTTCCCCCACAAAATTCTGGAGAAATTAGTATAAATTAATTGAGTGTTGTTCCACTATTGAAAAATTCCCAAAGTTTGGCTAATGGAAAATATTAGTCATACTTCAGTGTAAATATTTTAGAAGTTTCAGAATCCAGAAGATACACTGTATAGTTTTAAAAATAAATTGAAGAAGTTCCTATATTCTGTATATTGATCTTTCAGTTTGTCATTCCTGATTCATAACAGCAGTGTCTGACTGGTTTGATTATCACACTAAAAACATTTGGTTTCCAGCTTCCTCTTAATGCCTTATCTCTCAATTTTTATTTAAGTTGGGAAGAAAGGCGAACAGCCTCTGGAAGAATCCAATATCTAAACCACATAACAAGAACTACTCAATGGGAACGCCCAACACGGTAAGAACATACAAATATCTTCACATGGTAAGAACATACATATAATAATCACCTTCCTGAAGGCGTCCCTTTCTGTTTATCTACTAGCTTTACTGGATTTCCTTTCTTGGTTTATACTGCTCTAGGTCAGTAATCTTTTTTTTTAATTATAGTATTATTGATATATAATCTTATGTTGATTTCAAATATACAACATAATAGTTGAACAGTTCAACATATTATTAAATCCTTCTAGTGCAGTTGCTATCTATGAACGCAGTAAGATGTTACAGAATCATTAACTATATCCTCCATGCTGTGCTACTGTCCTGTGTAGTTCAGTAGATCTTATAGCAAGTGCCTTATCATCATTAAAAAGCAATTTTCAACAGATTGTTTAGCAGGTCACCCTGTTATTGTAGCTCCAGGGCCTATGATGGTACTCAATAAATATTTATTAAGTGAATTAAATGAAGAAATTGAGATGTCATCTTATTGCTGGGACTCTTAAAAATTTTTATTTTTAGTCCATGATTGAATGGCTAGGACAAAATATACATACAGGATTTCTATTTGTTCAGTCGTGTAGGGATATGATTATATTATGTTACAGCCAATAAGGTCTGTGATCAAGATAAGAATGAGCTCCCCGAGACCATAGGAGGGTCACCTGACTTAGAGGGGTGGGTAGGGGATGGTAGAAGTTGCAAGGGAAAACTCTGAAGGAAGGGAATCTCTAAACTAAATCCTGAAAAACATTAGGATTTAACTGGGTAAGGGGAAGGTGATAAAGTGTTAAGGGTAATGGTAATGGCTATCATTCAGTTCACCAAATGGTTATATGTCAGGCACTGCTCAGCATTTGGGCTATAATAATAACAAACAAGGCAGAAGGGCCTTCATGGAGCCTAACATATAAAGCCATGGGGTACAAGATAATTTTTGGAAATTCCAAGGAAGTGCTTTTTCAAGTAACTGAGAATGAATAGAATAAGTGGCTGAATATCCTCCACCCCTTGTTTTTTAAAGAACGAAGTTTATTTGCTACCTCTACTCAGTGTTTGTTTTGCCCCCACTTTTTTTTTCTTGAGCAGAACTGGCACCAGACATAGAACATCAAATGCATCTCATTAGCTGTATCTACTGTTATTTATTGGGCATTAGTTACTTAGCTCATTGAATCACAAGGTTTTCTCTGTTAAAATTCTCAGGTGTTTTTACCTGAGAATTTAACTTAGCTCATGTTGCCATTTAAAAAAATGCTTATTTGACAGTTGCATTTCTAGTATTAAACTGTCAAGGATATTATTGACATCAGCCCATTTTTACTATATCTGGGTGCAAATGAATGTGTACTTGTATCAGTGTTTTAGTGATGTTCATTTCCTTCTAACTCATTTAACTGATAAAATTGAATTTAATTTCCACATGTACAGTTGATTGTGTTGTAAATGTTAGTTTAAAAATTAACTCTTGATTATCCTTTTATTTTTGGTTGACCAGAAGCTCTTTGAAGCTCAGTTAAACTGGAGGCTCGTTGAAGAGACCAACTATCTTCTTCTCTTTTATTCGTTCAATAGATATTTATTGAGCTATTCTTCTGTTTGTGCCAAACACTGGTCTAGGTGCAGGGGGTGTATATAGTGGGGAACAAATGAGGCAGACTCTCTTCTCTCAATAAATATTATAGTGGGGAAGACAGACAAAACAAGAAAGCAATAAGAAAAAACAACAGAAGAAATTGCTATGTTGAGGAAATAAGGTGATGTACCATCAAATCCCTGGGTGACTACTTTAGTTTTGAAGGTTAGAAAGGACCTCTTCGACATATAACTTAAATTTAAATTTAAGTTGTGATTTGAATGACAAAAAGAAGCCTATGAAGAATAGGAGAAAAAAAAGCATCCTGGTAGAAGGAAGAGCTACTCTCCAGCACTAAAGGTAGAAAGACCTTGGCAAGTCAAGGAACAGGAGGAACGTCAGTGTGGGAGAAGCAGTGTAGGAGAATGGCAGGAAATCAGGACTGAGGGGTATAGGCTGTAGCTAAGTCAAGTGGTCCATTGTAAGCTATTAGGACATCTAGAAGTATATGTAGACTTCATATAAAGTTAAATTTAATATATAATGATTTAAATACATAATTGCAACCTGCTTATTATCATTTGAAAGGCTTTAGTCTTGCACCTATTTAGAGGTCTTAAAATCATTGTATTGTATTAATCATTCCATTTTCTTTAAGTGATTGTTACTGCAGCACATACATTGTATAGATACTCCATTTTTTGATATCTGAGTTGACTAACTTTTCTTTTTCCCTGTTACTTTTCAATAGACCGGCATCTGAGTATTCTAGTCCTGGCAGACCTCTTAGCTGCTTTGTTGATGAGAACACTCCAATTAGTGGAACAAATGGTGCAACATGTGGACAGTCTTCAGATCCCAGACTGGCAGAGAGGAGAGTCAGGTCACAACGACATAGAAATTACATGAGCAGGACACATTTACATACTCCTCCAGACCTACCAGAAGGCTATGGTATGACAACTAGCAGAGGAAAAATAAAATGTGGTTTACTGATTTCAGCTTGCTACTAAGCCAGCCAGAAAATCAACTTTTAAAGAAGTTACTAATCTGGGTTTAGGGATTCTGCATGAAAAAAAAGCAAATGTAAAACCTCCCAACTTTGAAAAGTCTTTGAAGTGGTAGAAGACTACCTAACCAACAGTTTGACTTCGGGCTAGTCATTTAACCTCAGCCTTTATGCTCATTTAAAATGGAATGAGATGAATGATATCTCTCCTTATCACAAAAGTATTGTGACAAGCACTTGAGACAATGTGAGACTACTTTGTAAATAGGCACTGTATAAAGGTAAGATAGTATTGTTATTGATAATGATAATCTAGAGTCAGAGCTGCTATGTAATTTTCTAGACAAACATTTAGAAAAAACTTCAAAAGCGTATTTCTGATGAATTTATATGTTTGTATTGTCTACAGTTTTGAGTTATCTGAGTGGGTTATTGTTATAAATAATTTTGTCAACTGTGTGTTTGTATAAAATTATTATAATCTTACATAATTTCCTAAATTGTAGAATTTCTTGTGGGAGACGACATCAATCTTCTAGTTGAATAGAAGACTTTTTAGATTAATCACAACTTGTGTACATTCTTGTAGATAGTTTGAACTTAACTATTCTCTCCTTTCTTGCTAAAAGTTAACCAAGTTACGTACATCCTTACCCTCTCAACAGCCTGTGGGTAAACTATTCTGGGCTGATGGTGACACCTAATGACCAACGGTGGGAATCGCCTGATCTAACTTCTATTTTACTTTTATTTTAGAATATTTTAAAACCTGTTCTGCAAATGTATGATTCTTACTTTAATTTAAAATATATTTAGACATAGAAATTACATGAGCAGGACACATTTACATACTCCTCCAGACCTACCAGAAGGCTATGGTATGACAACTAGCAGAGGAAAAATAAAATGTTGACATAGAAATTACATGAGCAGGACACATTTACATACTCCTCCAGACCTACCAGAAGGCTATGGTATGACAACTAGCAGAGGAAAAATAAAATGTGGTTTAATTAAAAAGAAAAACCAGTTTGTCTATTAACTGTGTTATGCCATATAGGTTAACTTAACAGCACAGTGATTGATTAGAGCCTGGGCTTGGGAGACAGGCCGACCTGACCTGGGTTTATATTCTGGCTTTGCCGAAGAGTAGGTGTATGACACTGGACATATTATTTAATCTCTCTCTGCCTTAGTTTTATCTTCTACAAAATAGAGCAAATAATCGTACCAACCATGTAGATTTGTTGCTATAAATAAAAAACTTCATGTGAAGTGTGCCTGACAGAGTGTCTGGCATAGAAAGCACTCAGTAAATTTTAGCTGTATTATTAACATTAGACCTTAGAATAAAGTATCTCCGGCCATTTCTCTTTAATGGAGATTATAAGGCAAGCTGTAAGAGTTGGAGTGGTTATACTTTTAAAATATTTGTGTGATTTGGATTAAAAAATATTTTTGTACAACTAAAACATAGGAGTAAAGTGGGTACCAAAGCTAAAATTATTGCAGCTGGCATCTGTAACCAACTTTAAATGTTATGTTCATAATTTTAGAAAGTTTAAAGTTTAAATTAATTGGCTTTATTATAGGCTTATAAATACATTTATACTAATAAATATTAGCAATAGTTTTATCATTTTATATGTTGGAATTTTTCATTAGATTTTGTTTAAAGAAAAGTGGTTTTGTTTCTTAAAAACATGTGTAAATAAAGGCTAAAAACCATCATTGAAGAAACCCTTTCACAGATTGCTTCCCTTTGCCCTGACTTTCACACTGTCTTCTCAAGGGCTTTGAGTTAATTTCACCTTTGACCTTTTCCTCTAGGCTGTGCACATGCCCATTAGTCCCTCTTTTTCTAACTTGGTTACATCTTTGCCCATTTTTTGACTAGAGTGTCTTCCTTGTATTCCATCTTCTTTGCTTCTGTTTGAGTCTACATGTAGTCCTGAGAATATACCTCTCTTAAGAAAAAAAACCTAAGTTTTGGCATAAAATTAAAAAAAGCATTACCAGCCTGCAAACCCTTTGAAAGTTTCTACATATCCCCTCAAAATCTCCCCAAAGTTGGCTAACCTTTCTCTGAGCTGCCTTTTATTCCCCTGAGGCTCCACACTTAAGACAAATGAAAGAACATTTCTTCATGTTGAATTATTGGTACTGTGACAATCTTTTCTTTTTTTCATTGCAACATGTTTAGTATTTGAGCCACATTGTAAATGTAGTTGGCTTTTAGATAGCTGGCCTGTGACCCTCATCACAATTTATAAGATTGTGTCCAGGAGAAAATGTATTCTGAGTTCAGAACAAATGATCTTTAAAGCAGTTTTTTTGTAGTAAAATGGATTGGTAATTTGGAGAATTTACCTATTAATATAATATCCTAGTGTGTATAACTGTCTTTGATTTGAACATTCTGATTATGTTTATTATTAGTGTTTCTTAATTTTACAGAACAGAGGACAACACAACAAGGTCAGGTATATTTCTTACATACTCAGACTGGTGTGAGCACATGGCATGATCCAAGAGTGCCTAGGTAAGAACATACTGTAAATATTCTTCATACCATTGAATACCCATTTTACCTAGGACTTCTTTGATTCTTTAATCTTTAATTTATTAAAATAGTTTATGTAAAAGTTTGGCTCTTTCTGATAGTCATTTCAGTTTGACATTTAATAGAAAGTCCTTCGTGTTTCTCTAACTTGGTTACATCTTTGCCCATTTCCCACCCCAGTGCCCTACTCCCCAGCCAGACTCCAGTTCTTCTCACCTTTCATCCTTAAAACAAATTGGGGGCAGAAGGACAGATCTTTTTAAGAGTTTGAATTGACCTGGGAAGAAACATACAAAACCTTACAAAAACATAATACCCTTTTTTAAAAAGATACTAAATTGATATTTTTATTTCTGGTAAGCTTTTTAAATGAAGATTTACTTATTTTAAACTTACATAAGTGTATTCAGTGTTCTTTTATGTGTTCCTTAATAAAGTTTCATTTTAATGTAGAAAAGAAATACCCTAATTAAATTAAATTTCTTTTAAATGAAAAAATTTGTACATTTGAGCTACAGGCATTAATGAGTGCATTTACTAACCAAAATCTCAGCCATCTTTTAACTTCAAGAAGATGAAATGACACAAATTAATTTAATAATTGAACATAATTTTTGTTACATTTTAGTGTCAAGTTTTTCAAACACTAGTTATTTTGAGTTACTTTCTAATGAACATACTTAGAGTGCCAAGTAGTCCAGTTGAAGCTGCAAAGAAAGATTGAGTTCTAAATTAAATTCAAAGTCAACTTTGTAAGTGGCACATGTGTCTTTGTAAGATGATGGTGTTTTATATATTAAATGCAACATTCCCCTTCAGGAAGACCCCTGCAAAGAGATCTTTTCTGCCTAATGCTTATACATAGATCTCTACTTGTCAAAAGTCATGTATTTGAAGAGAAAAACATGTGTGACTAGTTGATTGGATTGCTGTGATGCTCTTCATTTATAAATAAAGATATTATAATGAAAATGTCTTACTTTGTGATAGAGCTTAATTAGAATCTTTTGAGGGTGGCAACCAAGGAAATGTGTTATATTGTTAATTACTATATCAAGGTTTTCATTTCTGTGTCTAGATAATATAAGCTGTTAGTTTAAAACAAGCAGCGGGGAAGAAATTTTTCTTAATAAGCTCACTGAAAAAAATTCAAGGACCTAACTTTTACAAATAAGAATTCTGTTATGTGAATTATGAAAAGAAGTATTTTGGATTCGGTTTATCAAATTGAGGGTCAATAATAAGCTTTTTAAGTAAAATAAGTTAAAATCATTGAAAGGAAATGCAGGGGAGAAAAATTTTTTTGGACTGAATGATTTACAATAGTGAGAAAGTTGATCTTGAGTTATCTGTTGAAAGAATAGTATGTAAGATGGCATCAGAAGTTGAAATTGAGAGATTTTGGCACCACTGTTAGTAATATGCTCTTTTTCATAAGGAAATATGTCCAGCTTTTCATTAATGAGTATGGGGTTTCTATAAGATTTAAGAATATTTCATGTTGAGTATTGAATAATGACTTTATGAAATAATGCTCTGGATTATTTTTGTTTTATTTAATCTCTGTGCTCCAAATTATGCAATATCTTTTGTTTCAGAGGATCATTTAGTAAATATTCCTTTTGTATGAGGATCTTTTATCAGATACTTAGATTCTATTAAAATGTTAGCACTATTCAAAGATTTATGGTATAATTCAAACACTTTAAACTAACTTTATTTAAAGATATTCAGTAAACATAGATTTATCTGATTAAGTCCTATTTATCATGTTAAGCATTTCTCTAAAACAATGATTAATGCCTTATTATTCATTTATTGCATATTGACTATATAATTTTGAAATACAGATTTGTGTTACTTCTTATGGCTGTATCACATCCCACTTTTCTTAATAATTTTCCAATTGGACATAATAGGTATTCCAGTTTTCTGAACCTTAAATAAGTTATTTAGAGCTCTCCCACATATGACTATAGATTTATAAAATTCTAAATAAAGTTATATAAAGTCAAATTCTATGTTATAGCAAAATATTTGTTCTTTGATTTTAATATTTGCTTTTCAAAAAATTCCATTTAAAAAATCTATCTGCTCATTCTTAATCTCTCATTAAGATAGTGTGTCTTTGTAATTGTTCCCCTTTATTTTTTTTTAATGTTGTGTATTATTGCTGTTCTGTCTGGTTGATCTCCGATAGTACTTGGGGATCTAATTCTGTGGTTTGCTATTTACATTGACTCAGTCATCATGACTTTCCTTTCTGAAGTGTTTGGTGATCTTTGTGAATTTGATCTTAATTGGTTGAAGTTCTGTGGACCTAAAGTGGGAATTAAGGATGTTTTCCTGGAATCACTTCATATTCCCTTTGAATTCTCAGCTTAGTGGGGAAGTTCCAGATTTCCTTTTCCAGCCTTGCTGCTGGCCCGAGTCTGAGTTTCCTAATTAACAACTACCCTCTGCCTGCCTCCCACTCAGGTACTAGCTTCAGTTCAAATTCTTTTTTTTTTTAAATTCGAGGAGGATTTTTGAAACTTTTTCCCTTACCTCTTTTGAAATGAGCAGTGTCTCAAACAGTGTATTCTTTCCAAGCTTTAGTTTTTCTGTAGCAGATGAGTCTTTTAGAGCACCTTTAACCAGAAATCAAAATCATTGTTTCACAAATCTGTAGGTACTTACGTATATGCCCATCATTGTGTTTCACTACCACCAAGAAGAAGTTATTTCAGGAAAAATATTTTTCTAGTTTAATTTTTAAAATGTGATTTTGGTGAGATTTATTATAATTATCTGCTATAATTTAACTTTACATTAGACATGCTGCTTTTATTTCATTCTTTGAGGTCCTGTAAATCTTTGTCTATATATGACAGTTTTGTAAGAATGTGTGATAGTATAACAGTGGCCTTTGGTCTATTAAAGGTATTTTTACTTTTTTAAATTGTAGCTGTCAGAGCATTCCTTAGGCTTCTTAAATGGATTCTTCTTCCCTAGTGTTTCAGGTTTCAACTTTCAAAAGGAGGCAATCATATAAAATAAATACTATGATTATTTTCAGGATCGTAATTTCAGTAACATGTCCAATTTTGCCAGAGATCTTAAAATTAATCATGGAATGAACCTTTATTTACACAAATTTTATGGTGTAGTAAAGAATGAAATAATTGAAGGGAAATTTGAGAAAACATTTCATTCCTTATATCACTGACATTTGGAAAACAATGTTTTGTCAGACAAATATTGAAGAACAGTTTTTGTTGGCAAATGTTGTTATTGCATTAAAGCCCAGAAATTAACTTACTAAAAATGTAGGCTATGTGATACATTTCTGAGCCATTTATGGATTTTGAATATGCAAGGTTTTAAGCCATTGGGAATGAAAGATTCCAGCTGAACATCTCAGGTTTCTGAAACAATACATTTTCTCAGACTTGATGGAATTGTTTTATGTCATTTACACTTGGTTGGCTCAGCAGGCCCAGCAATGAGGTATTTTTTATTTTATATTTGTTTTTGTAGGGATCTTAGCAACATCAATTGTGAAGAGCTTGGTCCATTGCCTCCTGGATGGGAGATCCGTAATACAGCAACAGGCAGAGTTTATTTTGTTGACCATAACAACAGGACAACACAGTTTACAGATCCTCGGCTCTCTGCTAACTTGCATTTAGTTTTAAAGTAAGTTTTTGAAACAATACATGTAAAATATGAATAAGAGAAAACTGATAAATGCTTTTTGTAATGTATATGATAGAATGTTTGGTCTCTTCAATTATAAATTACTTTTGTAGAACAAAATTTTATATAAGAGTATGACAAGTTTTACTCTGACGTATGAGTATTTTAATCCCACAGTGCGTAAGTAGGAACCTGTCCTGAAATGTTAGGGAAAAGGTTTGTGTATCAAAGCTGAGGAGACAGGCTGTTTTATAGGGGAGATGGATTTTTTTTGTCCTTGAGTGTATCATAAATAGCTCCAAGACAGCTGAAGCCACCCCAGCTGGCTTTTTGTTATGTTAGTTTTGTCCCTCAGCTTTAAGCCTTCTTTCTCTTTGCAGGACTTAGACAGTTTTCATACCAGTCTGTGAATGGGCTTGAGTAACCCTAACCCTGAATTTTTTAAATTGGCTTTAAGTGTAACTGACATACAGTAAACTGTGCATATTTAAAATGTACAACTTAAATGTTGACATATTTTGCACCCATGAAACCATCATCACAATGAAGACGGTGCACATATCCATCACCCCCAATAGTTTCCTCATGCCTCTTTGTAATTCCTCCTCCTCTCCATTCCCATGGGGCTTCTACCGGTATTAGTTTCCTGAGGCTGCCATACAAAATGTTAGTCACTGGGTGGTTTGCAACAACAGAAATTCATTCTTTCACAGTTCTGGATACTACAAGTTCAGAATCAAGTTGTCGGTAGAATTGGTTCCTTCTAGAGGCTCTGAAGAAGAATCGGTACCATGCCTCTTTCCTAGCTTCTGATTGTTGCTGAAAACCTTGCTGTTCCTTGGCTTGTAGATATATCCCAACCTTTGTCTTTGTCTTCACATGGTCTTGTACGATCTGTTACTGCTCACAAGACTTCTGACAGCAGATGTGTGGGTTTTTTCCTCAAAGCTATCTCCAAGTCTCCAGAAACCAACTGGGTTTACAACAATTGAATTCAGTTCTGACAATACCTGCAATTAGCATTAGATCCCACAGGTTAAGGTCTCAGTCCCACAAGATCATCCCCAGTTCAGATGTCAATCGCAAGTCTCAGGCATCCTGTACTTCTTACTGACCATTGATAAAGGGTGGGTTCCCATGATCCCCTCCTTGGGTTCAGTAATTTGCTAGAATGGCCCACAGAGTGGGGAAATACTTTATTTACTATTACCAGTTTTTCATAAAGGGTATAACTCAGGAACGGCCAAATCGAAGAGTTGGGTACGGCAAGGTACACGGATAGCAATGCACAGATCTTCCATGACCTCTGTAGGTGCTTCACCCTCCCAGCTTCAGTATGTTTACCAATCCAGAAGCTCATACTGCATATCATTGTTTAGGGATTTTATGGAGATGTCATCATATAGGCATGATCAATTATTAACTCAATCTCCAACTCCTCTGCTCTCCTCAGAGACTGGGGAAATGAGGCTGAAAGTTCTAGGCTTATAATCAAGCCTTGGTCTTTCTGGCAACCAGTGCCCATCCTGAAGTTCTCTAGGAGTCCATCCCCAAAGAGTCACCTCAAAAATAAAAATGCTTCTATTCCCAGGAAATTCTAATGGATTTAGGAGCTCTGTGTTTGGAACTACGGACAAAGACAAAGAAAAAAAGACAAACCTCTGCAAGCCAGGAAATTTCAAGGACTTTAATAAAAGTTCTGTATCAGGAACCAGGGACAAAGACCAAAGTGTATTTCTTATTATGCCACCCCTTTTTTCCTTTATGTGTGGATCCAAATTTCCCTTTTCTTTTGATGATACCAGTTTACTGGATTTAGGGTCACCCTAATTCAGGATTATTTCATCTTAACTTGATTATATCTGCAAAGGCCCTAATTTCCAAATAAGTCAAATTCCTAGGTACTGGGGTTAGGACTTAAGCATATCTTTTTTTTTTAAGTATCATTGATATACAATCTTGTGAAGGTTTCACATGAAACAGTATTGTGCTTTCAACATTCACCCATATTATCAAGTCTTCACACCTGCATTGGAGTCACTGTTTATCAATGTAGTAAGATGCTATAAAGTTATAAGTTGTCTTCTCCATGCTGTACTGCCTTCCCCATGACCTATCTGTATTGTGAGTGCTAATTATAATGCCCCTTAATCCTCCTTTTCCTCCCTCCCCACCCATCCTCTCCAACCCCTTCCCTTTGGGAACCACTAGTCACTTCTTGGAGTCTGTGAGTCTGCTGCTGTTTTGTTCCTTCATTCAGTTTTACTTTGTTGTTACACTCCACAAATAAGGGAAATCATTTGGTACTTGCTTTCTCTGCCTGGTTTATTTCACTGAACATAATACTCTCTCCAGCTCCATTCATGTTGTTGCAAATGATAGGATTTGTTTCTTATGGCTGAATAGTATTCCATTGTGTGTATGTACCACATCTTCTTCATCCATTCATCTACTGATGGACACTTAGGTTGCTTCCATATCTTGGCTATTGTAAATAGTGCTGCAATAAACATAAGGGTGCATATGTTCTTTTGAATCTGAGAGCTTGTATTCTTCGGGTAAATTCCTAGGAGTGGAATTCCTGGGTCAAATGGTATTTCTGTTTTTAGTTTTTTTGAGGAACCTCGATATGGCTTTCCACAATGGCTGAACTAATTTACATTCCCACCAACAGTGTAGGAGGGTTCCCCTTTCTCTGCATCCTTGCCAGTATTTGTTACTTCTTCTCTGTTGAATGTTGGCCGTCCTAACTGGTGTAAGGTAATATCTCATTGTGGTTTTAATTTGCATTTCCCTGATGATTAGCAATATGGAGCATCTTTTCATGTGCCTATTGGCCATTCGAATTTCTTCCTTGGAGAAGTGTCTCTTCAGGTCCTCTGCCCATTTTTTAATAGGGTTATTTGTTTTTTGGGTGTTAAGGCATGCGACTTCTTTATATATTTTGGATGTTAACCCCTTATTGGATAAGTTATTTACAAATATATTATCCCATATGTAGGATGCCTTTTTGTTCTGCTGACGGTGTCCTTTGCTGTACAGAAGCTTTTTAATTTGATGTAATCCCATTTGTTCATTTTTTATTTTGTTTCCCTTGCCCAAGGAGATGTGTTCAGGAAAAACATGTTTATGTTTATATTCAAGAGATTTTTGCCTATGTTTTCTTTTATGAGTTTTATGGTTTCATGACTTATATTCAGGTCTTTGATCCATTTTGAGTTTACATTTGTGTATGGAGTTAGTAATCCAGTTTCATTCTCTTACATGTAGCTGTCCAGTTTTGTCAACACCAGTTATGGAAGAGGCTGTCATTTCCCCATTGTATATCCATGGCTCCTTTATTGTATATTAATTGACAATAAATGCATGGGTTTATATCAGGGATCTCTATTCTGTTCCGTTGATTTATGGGTCTGTTCTTGTGCCAGTACCAAATTCTCTCTTTTTTTTATTACTGTGGCTTTGTAGTACAGCTTGAAGTTAGGGAGCATAATTCCCCAGGTTTGTTCTTCCTTCTCAGGATTGCTTTGGGTATTCGGGGTCTTTTGTGGTTCCATATGAATTTTAGAACTATTTGTTCTAGTTCATTGAAGAATGCCGTTGGTATTGATAGGGATTGCATTGAATTTGTTTTAGGCAGATAGCCATTTTGACAACAGTAATTCTTCCTGTCCATGAGCACGGGCTGTATTTTCATCTATTGGTGTCTTCTTTAATTTCTCTCATGAGTGTCTTGTTGTTTTCAGGATATAGGTCTCTCACCTCCTTGGTTAGGTTTATTCCTAGGTGTTTTATTTTTTTTGATGCAATTGTAAATGGAATTGTCTTCCTGATTTCTCTATCTGCTAGTTCATTGTTAGTATATTGGAATGCAACAGATTTCTGTGTATTAATTTTGTATCCTGAAACTTTGCTGAATTCAGTTATTCTGGTAGTATTGGAGTGGATTCTTTAGGGTTTTTTATGTACAATATCATGTCATCTGCAAACAGTAACAGTTTAACTTCTTCCTTGCCAATCTGGATGCCCTTTATTTCTTTGTGTTGTCTGATTACTGTGGTAGGATCTCTAGTACTGTGTTGAGTAAAAGTGGGGAGAGTGAGCATCCTTGTCTTATTCCTAATCTTAGAGGAAAAGTTTTCAGCTTTTTGCTGTTAAGTATGATGTTGGTTATTGGTTTGTCGAATATGGCCTTTATTATATTGAAGTACTTGCCTCTACACCCATTTTGTTGAGAATTTTTATCATCAATGGATGTTGAATGTTGTCAGATGCTTTTCAGCATCTATTGAGATGATCATGTGATTTTTGTCCTTTTTGTTGATGTAATATATGATGTCGATTGAATTTTGAATATTGTATCATCCCTGCATCCATGGAATAAATCCCACTTGGTCGTGATGGCTGATCTTTTTGATACATTTTTTAATTCAGTTTGCTAATATTTGCATCTGTGGTCATCAGGGATGTTGGTCTGTAATTTTGTTTTTTTTGTGGTGTCTTTGTCTGGTTTTGGTATTAGAGTGATGCTGGCCTCATAGAATGAGTTCCCTCCTCTTCTATTTTTTGGAAGAGGTTAAGGAGGATGGATAGTAGGTCTTCTTTAAATGTTTGATGGAATTCAGCTGTGAAGCCATCTGACCAGGGGTTTTGTTTTCAGCATATCTTTTTGGACGCAATGCACAACACACTCCATCTTCAACCAACCACCGATCAGCTTTCTGTCACTGATACTAGTTTGCATTTTCTATAGTTTCAGATAAATGGATTCATATTTTTTGCTTGGTCTTTTTACTCAGCATGATTATTTGAGATTCTGCTCTGTTGTTGTGTGTATAGTTAATTATTTTTCATTGCTGAAAATTAATTAACTTATCCATTTACTTGTTGATGGACATATAGATTTTTTCCAGTTTTTGGCTATGACAAAACTATTATGAACATTTATATGTAAGTCTTTGTATGGACATATGCTCTTACTTCTCTTAGATAAATACCTAGGAGTAGAATGGCTGCATGATATGATTGATCTTTGATTAACTTTAAAAAAAACTGCCAGATTATTTTTCAAAGTGATTGGTACCTTTTTGACATTCTTACCAGCAGTGTGTGAGAGTTGTAGTGGCTCCACATCCTTGTTATACTTGGTATGGTTAATCTTACTAGTTTTAGACATTCTACTAGTCTTAATCCCTTTGTAGTTTGACTTTGTACTTCTCTAGTATCTAATGATGTTGAGCATCTTTTCATGTGCTTATTTGCCATCTGTGTATCTATTTGGTAAAACTTTTTGCCCCCTAATTGAGTTTTTTTAATGTTTGAGTTTCAAGAGTTCTTTAAATATTTGAGGTACGTGTCCCATATCACATTTATACTCTGGAAAGATGTTCTCCTAGTCTATGATTTGTCTTTTCTTAACAATGTCTTTTGAAGAGCAGAAGGTTTCTTTGAAATTCTGATGAAGTTCCATTTATTCATTTGTTCTTTTGTGGAGTATGCTTTTGGTGTCATATCTAAAAAAATCTTTGCTTAATAAAGCCACAAGTATTTTCTTCTCTGAGAATTTCTGTGGCTGTGTGTTTTATATTGAGGTCTCTGATTCATTTTGAGTTAAATTTTTGTATCTGATGTAAGGCATACCCAAGTTCATATTTTTCTTTGCATAGGATTGATATAATTGTTCAGGGAATATTTTTAATCTGTTTTGATTTTGTTTATGTATATGTGTGTGTGTGTATAAAAGAACACCTTTATCTAATACAATGTTTGTGAGAGTAGAAGTAATTATTTGCAATTTTCATCAAAGCTGTATTTTTTCTGGGTAGTTGTATGCTTTAGGTATAAAATTTGGGCTGGTACATAAGAATCACTGTATGTCAAATAAGTCTGGGTGATTTGTTAGAGAACTGAAGAGGTATTTTTGTTTATCATAACTACCATTGCCCTTTACGTTTAGGTTAGGAGATTGTGCTCTTGTTTGTTGTGTATAAAACTAAACTCCAACCGAATCACTCAGTGTCTATGTAAACATCAGTAGTGAATTATCTGACTTTACTTCCTAATGGTTTTTGGAATTAACTAGTTCATTATATGATGCGGGTCTTTAAAAAATATTCTTTAATGCAACTTACAATATTTTTGCCAAAGAATAAAAATATCTCTAGGCAGTGTGTCTTTTTAAAAGTATTATTATATTTCTGCTGTTCTTGAAAGGTTATTTTCATGTATTTGTGGTAAGCTATATATATGCAGTTAAAGTCACTTTAACACAACAATGTGAATGTACTTAATGGCACTGACTCTACCCTTAAAAATGGTTAAAATGGTAAAGTTTATGTTAAGTATATTTTACCACAGTAAAAAGAAGTCACTTTTGTAAAGCACTTCAACTTGTTTGTAAAGTGCTCTTTTCTGTGTGCCAGTAACTTCCATGTGACCTTCCACATTCTGTGGTCTAGACTGCAGCATGCACAGGAGCAGGGGTCCCTGCCGGGCTGCCAGTTCCAACTGTTTGTCTCTTCCAGAGAAACAAACTCTGGATAACAGGCACAGGGTTTGGCATATATCTGAATTTTCATATGGGTGATGGTAAACTATCCACAAGAAAATGGAAACAGTATGCAAGTAATTTGTTCTCAGCAGCTGTATAAAGCTTTATGGATGAACACTTTTTCTGATTCCACAAATTTGTATGGATTCTGAGAAGTAAACTTTGGAATTAGTTTATTGCTGGCAAAAATGTCAAGCCAAGAATATAATAAGGCCTGGAAATGATATAGCTACACTCATTTTATAATATGATGCTATTTTAAACGGATAGTTGCTGTTTTTTCAAAAATACTTTAATAATCTTTGTTTGCTTTTAGTAGGCAGAACCAGCTGAAAGACCAACAGCAGCAGCAGGTAGTGTCCCTGTGCCCTGATGACACAGAGTGTCTGACAGCCCCACGGTACAAGCGAGACTTGGTTCAGAAACTGAAAATTTTGCGTCAAGAACTTTCCCAACAGCAGCCTCAGGCTGGCCATTGCCGCATTGAGGTATCAAGGGAAGAGATTTTTGAGGTAAATTTACAAGTCTTATTTTAAAATAGAGAAAAATAAAATTTCAGTGTTTCTCAGTTTTCCAAGAGTACTTTTTGCGACTCAAAGTCTCTTTAGAATGGGAGCATTTTCATTAATTTCTTTTTTAAATTTGGTGGAAAAAGGCAGTAATACAGATTTGTAAGTAAGATTTAATATATAAGATAAACATTTAAATGGGATGAAGAAGGTGAAATGTTCTGGTTTGGTTCAGCCTGGTCTCTGCATTGCAAATACTTGTTTGTTAATGAATTTTAAAAGACCACAAGTACTATCTATTGGTCACTTTCTAATTCTTCCAAAGGCAGGGACTCTTGAGTCAAAAAATTTTGTTTAATTACTGTTGAACTACTTCCTTAATTTATTGAACCTCTTCCTTTCTGGCATATCCTTTTATCTTTGGACTTTATAGCCCTACCATTTCAAAGTTCTCACATAGTAAGTGGCAGAGGTCCAAGGGCAGAGGTTTCTCACTCATTAGAGAATTTCTGAGCAAGAGATGTTTGGGGACTTGATAATTCTCTTTCCAAAGGATGAACTTTTTTCTCTCTAAATTGTTCTTTGTTTGTAGTACTAGTCATTTGTGTTTTGTTCTCTTTTTTTTCTGCTAAAACATCTATTGTTTAATTTGTTGGGATATACAGTACAGACTAGTTATAGTCATTTCTGTTTTAAATAATATAAAGTTGTCTATTTAATAATGATTGCTCATGTTTACTTACATTAAATGTGTAATTTTAACATTTATGTTAAGTGCTTACTCTTAATGATTGCTTATGTTTTCTTGAATCTTTTTCTTACCTTTTCTTTCTGCTGGTGCCTGTAACCTAAAATTAGGTTAACCAACTTGAAAAAATTTGGCATTTCTATCAAATTTTGTTTTTAATGCGAGTATAGTCATTGCTGTGGTTTATAGAACTTAAATGTGGAGTTTTTCACTTGTAGACTTTTGATATAATAGTTATCAAATGAATTGGTTTCAGTATAGTAAGCCATATCCATTTTGTTTTTAGAAGTTCCACCAAGTTTTAAACACTTGGAGTCTATCCATTGATTTGATTGTTGAACAAATTTCACATTACTTTAATCTATGTTTTGTAGGTGGAATGGGAGGAGTTTAAATAACAGGTTAAAAGCACCTAGTAATAATAATATACTGAAATTTTTTTTAGGAATCTTATCGACAGGTCATGAAAATGAGACCAAAAGATCTCTGGAAGCGATTAATGATAAAATTTCGTGGAGAAGAAGGCCTTGACTATGGTGGGGTTGCCAGGTAAAGATGTGCTTATCAGTAAATGAAATATGCATCCTTATATTTACAAATTTAAGAAACTTCCAGTGGCATAACCTCCTCATGAATATTTATTTTCTAGTATATTATTCCCTGATGTTTGCAATCCGGAGGCTATCCTAATGGGCATATTCACAGTGAGGTTAGGATAGTACTGCTTCTAGGAGCTTGTCTGAGAACTCCCTCCTGGATCATACAGTAACAAGCTCATCTGCAAACTAGCTGCAACCCTACATGGACTGTTGGTGGGACCAGCAGGCCCTGCATTTGTTTTCTGCATCTCTCTCCTTCAGTACATGGTATCCCCTCTGCTTTACATTGTCAGGAACAACCCTGAGACTTTACGTGTATTCTAAAGCGAATACTGTTTCCCTTTGCTTCCAGTGTCATATTTTTTACCTTGGTCAGGAGTGTTTGCGTGTACATGTAAGTATGTGTGCATATGTATATATTTCCTAAGTGGTCCTTAAATCTTTCAATACAGAAACTATACTCTTTATGCTACATTCATACATCAAGGATTTTTTCCAGGTGTGAAAATTCACTTTATGTACATGTAGCAGAAACATTATAGCTTCTGTATTGAAACATTCTAAGGACCATCATGATAATTCTGCTTACCCTAATCTAAATCTAGCCTAAATTAAATTTGTGTTTGCACTAAGTCCCATGATTGTTGTTATTTAGCATTACCTGTTTTCACCTGTAGGCTTACTTTCGCTTTGTGTCCTTTTTGGCTGCAAATGGAGTTTCTTTAGTTTGGGTCCTTATGATGACTTACACATCATACTTGGAACTTCATAGTTGTTGGATTCTTATGATTACTCATAGCTAGATTTTGAATGCTTGTTTGAAAAACTTGATAACTATCTGCTGATGGAATCTAAATGCTATAATTGTATGTATAGACCAAATAAGTAGTCAGTTTTTTGTTGTTTCTTAACCTTACTGTAAAGGTTTGGTAGACTAAAATGGGATGTGTCAGTAAACTGCTTTTTCCGATCTTTATTCTGTAGTAGCATCCAAGTGTAGTTGGGTTCTGTTTTTATGTGCGTTCTAAGTATTTGGTGAAACAAAACAAAAAAATTTTTTTTTTCTAAAAAAACATGCATAAAAAGCATGCAATACACAATCAGGTGTTGTGTGTGTTGGAAAGGTTTTTGTGGAGGCCTCTCATCTTTTTTTTAAAATCTAGATTTTCTCAAATATTACATAAATGGTAGTAATTTTATTTAGACTCCATCATTATAGAACTTTTAAACATTTTACATTATCTATTTGTTAATAATGTTTCATTGCATTTCCTGAAGATATATTATTCAATCTGTTTAATCCGTAATGTCAGAATGTATTATTTAAGTACCTTTCCTAGCCGACGAATGACCAGAATTGAGATTAGCAACATCTAAGTCCTGGACTAACGATTTTATTTCAGTTTCACCAAGATAAATAATAAATTATCTTTCATACTTTGAAAATTATAAGTGTAAGTTGGTAGTTCTGTAGGAGGTTTCGAAAATGTTGATGTACACTTGAAACCAAGAAGTGGACATACTCAAAAAGTGCGGGCTTGCCCTAGTATTCCTACTTACAGCAAATGCCTTGTAATCCCTGACCACTTACATTTTTATCATGCTATATTTTAGGGTTTATACAAAGAAGATGAAATGGATAATGAAATTTCCTTATTAAAACAATACCAGCAACAAAACATACCATTGTCCAAAAGTGAGAGGATTAATGCTGTACTATATTATATAATCTATATAAATAGTATAAATTGCCATGATAGGAGTGGGCCAAGTTAGTACAGATTATCTGGATGTTTTGAAATAAAACCATATTCTTCCTTCATTTTATATTTATCATGGATTACAAATATATTTAACAATCAAAAGTAATTAGGCTAAATTATTAAATTACCATTGGACTGTAGCATCTTAATGAGTAGTTGGTACTTCTGGATAATACCTTTATTAAAATAATACCAAATTGGATAATACTAAATTGAGTGAGAAGTGATTTCAATGTAACAAAGCAGGAATTTTCACTTGCCTTTTGGACATGACAGATTTTCCAATGTGATCTTATGTAACTGGTTAGTGCTTTATTTTCTTTTATTTAAAATTTTTTTGCTAAACTGATTAATTGAATATCAAATATTCATTAATAAAAAAATTTCTTTGTCATACCTTGTTTTCTAGGGAGTGGTTATATCTCTTGTCACATGAAATGTTGAATCCATACTATGGCCTCTTCCAATATTCAAGAGATGATATCTATACATTGCAGATCAATCCTGATTCTGCAGTTAATCCGGTATGATTAGTTGGTGGTTGTGTTGATAAGATTAACTTGTGACCTACGCTTTTCATTTTTCAAGGTCAATGTAGTTTATGACATAGGATTACTCTCTGTCCTGGTCACACCATTGCTTGGATTTAACAAGTCTTCCTTTAGAAAATTTTCGCAAGTAAATGATTATGGATTTGTGCAGTAGCTTGGGCACAGGGATGTTTCCTGCATCATTGTTTATAGTAGACCCAATTGGAAACAACATTGTGGTCCATTAAAGGGGATTGATTAAATTATAACTTACATTAATGGTTAAGAGCATGCATTCTGGAATTAGAAAAACATGAGATCATATCTTGGTTCCATTACTTACTACCTTTGTGGTTAAGCCTCAATTTTATCATTGCTAATAATAATAAATATAGCTCATAACTCAGAAGGGTTGTGACAATTAAATGGGATATTGCATATTAAATATTTAGCACAGTACTATACATGATTAACCCTAATATATATTACTAAGCATTCAACAAAAGTTAGTAACTTATTAATTTGTTGATTTTATATTATTTCTATTACCTTTCCATACAAGGGCATATTATATAGCCACTAAAATGATACTATGGGATAATAATGACATCTAAAGATGGTGTTTGTGATATATTAAGTGAAAAGAATTTTACAAAATAGTATGATACAATTTTGGTAAATTTGTATATGTGTAAACATTGAAAGGCTCTATAGTCTAATATTGACTGGTTATCTCTAGTGTTAGATTATGGGTGATATTTTTTGCTTGTCTATATTTCCTAAATATTTTGCAGTGAACATGTATTATTTTTTAAAAAGAAACAAAACCTATTTTTAAAATAAAGGGGAAGTTTAAAGATGAGCTTAAAGATTAGTTATTAAATAGAGAAATAAAAAAAGTTTAAAGTACACATATCCAAGTAACAAAACAATTTATTGTGAAAGACCAGTAGTTCCCAAACATGATACAAATGTTAGCTTTGTTGCAGGGACTCCTTTATAATGGGAAGATGTGTAGGTGCAGGTTCTGCTTGGGTAGCCCATTACTACCACTGTACTAATAAATGCTCACATCTATTGAGCATTTATCATATGCCAAGTCCAATGCCATGGACTTTATCACCTCATTTTACTCAGATACTGTTTTTACTCTCATTTTTCCAGGTGTGGAAAATTAGTTCTATAAAGGTTAAGTAATTTAACCAAGTATTCATGCATAGTAACTGGCAGAGTCGGACTGTAGTCCACGTTAGACATGAAATCTGTGTTCTTAGATCTATGTTTTGAAGTTCAGTTTCTGGTTAGGTCAAGGAAATAGGGAGGTTGAGGATTGAAGGGTTTTTTTGGTTTTGTGTTTTGTGTTTTAATGACCAAGCCAGGATTGTGAAGGGCTCAGCAGGAGATGAGAGGAAAGGAAGAGGACAGATCTATGAGTGATTTAATGAAGCTGCAGTGGGACTGTAGTTTGGGGTTAATTTCTAAAGATAAATTTTATTTATTTATTTATTTTTAAACTTTTAATATAAATTTATTTAAAAACCACAACAACATAGCTCACAAGCCTTGAAATCCCTAGCATTTAAACATCCCCTTTTTGGTTATCTTTAAAAGTAAGTCAGAAACATGCCAAAAACAGATTAGAGGCACTCATAGTGAACTTTGCAGTTAGACTGAGTGCAGGTTTTATTTTAACTTTTTTTTTTTTGAGAGGACATCTCTCATATTCATTGATCAAATGGTTGTTTACAACAATAAAATTCTGTTTAGGGGACTCAATGCACAATCATTAATCAACCCCAAGCCTAACTCTCAACAGTCTCCAATCTTCTGAAGCATAATGAACAAGTTCTTACATGGTGAATAAGTTCTTACATGGTGAACAGTGCAAGGGCAGTCAGTCATATCACAGAAACTTTCAGTTTTGATCACGCATCATGAACTATAAACAATCAAGTCAGATATGATTATTCATTTGATTTTTATACTTGATTTATATGTGAATCCCACATTTCTCCCTTATTTTTTTTTTTTAATAAAATGCTGAAGTGGTAGGTAGATGCACGATAAAGATAGAAAGCATAAGTTAGTGCTGTAAGAAGGCAAGTGTGGATGATCAGGTCTGTGCCTATAGACTAAGTATTAATCCAAGCTAGACAAGGGCAACAGAACATCCACGGATGCAGAAGATTTCTCTCAATAAAGATAAATTTTAGAAAATGACAGTTTGAGAGAGGCATTGACTCTGGTGTAATACTTTAATAGCAATGTAGAGCATCTTGACATGCCCTGTAGAAACTCTAATTACCGAACTTTGTTATGATAGCTTATTCCATTTAAATTCCATTTAGTTGTGAATTAGACTCTAAGTTTTGCACTTACTATTAAAAATATTGCTGCCTAAATATTTAATTTTCACTAAAATTTCCCTTGATTGTTTCTAACTCGAGTATTTCTATTATCTGTTTCCAATTTCAGGAGCATTTATCATATTTCCACTTTGTTGGACGAATAATGGGAATGGCTGTGTTTCATGGACATTATATTGATGGTGGTTTCACATTGCCTTTTTATAAACAGTTACTTGGGAAGTCCATTACTTTGGATGACATGGAGTTAGTTGATCCAGATCTTCACAACAGTTTAGTGTGGATACTGTATGTATTGAGTCTTGTATCTGTTCATTATAGTTAGAATCTGAACTTTTAAAAAAAGATACATTTCAAAGTAGATGTACTTAATAAATTTTTTTAAATGATGTGCAGAAAATATTAGTAATTATCTGAGTTACAGGACCACTTGACTTTTCTTCATTCTACTGCTTTTCTGTATATTTTAAATTCCTAAAAGTTAGCGAGTATTATTACTTTAAAAAGAAAAAAATCTAGTATATTATATTTTTTTAAGTTACTGTGTATAATGATTCTTCAGCATGATGCAATGCAAGTTCTGTTTCAATTCTGCATGTGTTAGAACAGCGGATTCTTGCTGAGGTGGTGATTGTTGAAGCCATGCTTTAAAAAGGTATCTGTTAAAAGGGTATCTATAAGAAGCAATTCTATTTTGCAGGAGGTCATTCATTTACGATGATTTATTGGCCATACTTTTTACCAAATACACAAGTAGCTTTCTCACTGGGAATAACCAGGCACTTGGTCACTTAGAGGTAACCCAGATTCAAGTGGGGCCTATTACCTGAGAGCCAAACATAACTGAAATTTGGCTATGTAAAGCCCAGCTTTGGCCAGGGCTCTTTGTCATTACTTAGGAGGTGAAATGTTACCTGTGTTTAAGAACGTTAAGGCTTTTTGACTCTTCTGTCCGTGAATTTTTCATAAAACTATCTTATTTTATCTGTCTCATTAATTAATTATATTTTTTATTTTCCAGTTAAGTATCTATTCCTTTCTTTGTTTCTAGTGAGAATGATATTACAGGTGTTTTGGACCATACCTTCTGTGTTGAACATAATGCATATGGTGAAATTATTCAGCATGAACTTAAACCAAATGGCAAGAGTATCCCTGTTACTGAAGAAAATAAAAAGGAATATGTCAGGTAAACAAACCCTTCTCTGTTCCCAAGCCTGAGAATTATTGTAATGTTCTGGAACAGCAATACAGAAAAACACTTAAGTATTTAGGTAGAGTTATTTAATGCTACAAAGCAAGCTTCTGCAGAAATAAGTGGTTTAAAAACAATCACCATTTTATTATTTCTTACAATTATCTTGAGTCAGTAATTTGGATAGAGAACAATAGAGATAGCACACCCCTCCTCCTTGTGTTGTCAACAGGAGCTGAAGTGTGAACATGCCTCCTTCACTCAGATCTAATGCCTCAGCTAGGGTGGCTCAAATAGCAAGGAGCTGGCTGGACAGGCCACTGGTTCGCCGTCTTGGGTCTAGTTCTCACCATTTGCTGGGTTCCTTGGTTATCTCTATGTGGTATCTGAGGCCTCTCACTCTCCCCATGGCCTCTCTCCCCCCAGCAAGAGAGCCAGACTTCTTACGGGGTGGCTGATTTCCCAGAGCACAAAAGCAGAAGTTGTTAGATCTTTTTAAGGCCTAAACCTGGAACTAGCCAACATCACCTCTGCTGTAGTCTTTTGGTTAAAGTGAATCACCTGGCAGCCCAGGTTCAGTGTGGAGGAAGGGTGTGATGCCAGGGAACATGGTGCATGGGGCTGTGTGCAGTGCAGGTACCATAGCTGCATAGAAGCACTTGTCTGCTGTATTACTAGCACTTATCCTGTTTATAAATAAGCACATTGTGAGTTTAAGGAATAAATACAACAAAATGTTCTTCAAGTTTTATAAAATCATCTGCTGATTGAGGAATTTATAAATATTGTGTTACATCATTTGGCTTATGGTAATTAAAGTTCTTCAAACATACACCAGTGGTAATCAGATTCAGAGTTTGACCACACCATGTGTACACAGAAACATGCAGACTAATACTTTTTAAAAACGATTATGTCCACAAATATTACTGGCTAAAATTTTCCTAGTTTACACATGTGGCCCATCAGTCTCAGAGACTGCTGGTGGGAGGTACCAAATGAAAATGCATATGTCTTTTAATTAGCAGCTCCATTTTTAGGACTCTATTCTACCCAAATACATGTTGTTATAGAAATATGAATAAGGATGGTCAATTAAATATTACTTGTCAAAAAAATTGAGAACTGATAAAATGACTTTAGAGGAGAATGATTACATGCATTCAACAGAATATTATGTGGATATTTAATAGAAACTCTGTATAAGCTGTCAGACTTAAAAAGCAAGTCTTAGAAGAATTATGTAGGAACAAAGTCTGTGTGTTGTTTTACAATTATTTGGAAGATGTTCAGGAAGGCTGTATACCAAATAAAGTTTTTGCCTAGGATGAAGGAGAGAAAGTGGTGGGTCTTAAAGTAGAGGGGGGAAAATAGGATAAAAGAATGGACTTTCAGGTTTTATTCTGTCTCCACATTTAGTGTTTTATTTTTCTTTATATAACAAGCATGTATTACATTTCTAATTTTAAAATAATACAATGAATAGGAACTCATCGTGTGTCACGTCCAGGATCTAGTGTGGACTCATCAGTTCCTAGGTCCCACTGTCCAGGATTCAGTCAGGCTTCTGACACACAGTCATTGTCCCCGACCAAATGCCATGCTGAGATGAAAAAGAAATTACCAAGAAAAACTGTATGGATGTGTAGTTTTGCTGTCCCCTTAAACAAACAAAAATGAGGTTCCCAAAGGATCTGATGTTAAATAACTTCTTTCTTGAAGTAGAGAACTATTTCTCCAAGTTTGGAAAAGGAAATGTTGGCCAATTTGGAAGGTGACTTGTTCTGAGATTTGTGAGATGGAGAGGTTTTTCCTGGGTAGATAGATAAAAAAAAAAAAAAA